ATAGATTTGGAAAAAACCAAAAATGGGAAATTTTGCTTGACAATTTTCTGTCAAGCTAGGAAAATTCAACATAGTACTTATGCTTTTTCGTTCTCCAAAACTTGACCTTCGGAGAAAAAGTGTTCTTACAAGAATTCGATTTTTTATTCTCTTGCAGTTATCCTATCCCATAATTATATCTAAATAATCGTTTTCCTTCCTTTATTGCCAAGTAGAACCTTTACATAGGGACGAAATAATAAAGCCTACCAATGATTTATGCGCTAGATAAAGACATATCATTATTTTTGGTCCGAAGACAAGAACATATCAAGCCACCGCCAAAGTCTGATGGAGGCCAGTCTATAAGAATTCATCAGAACAAACGAATGAGGAAGAATTCTCATCTAAAGGCAATTCGCTTGACGTGGTGCAAGCACAAAGATGCTGATGCTAGCAACTTGTGTCTTTAACTGTATAAAGATAAAAGTTTCGTCAGGCCAGCCATATGGGAATTCAGATGTCACAACATTGTTATTAAAAGCCATGGCTTCATGCTGATGCAACGCGAAGCGATGAATTATTGCTTCACGACTGAAGCCATCTGCTTCAAATAAATGCACGCTTAAAAGTTAAAACAATGATGCGCAAAGTGATCCCACGAAAAAGAATTGGTACTCTGAATCTTAATTTTGAGGAACTAGATTAGTATCCATGTTGGAATAGTAAAATTGATATATGTTTGATAGAACAGACATGGATGTCTGTGGAATTGGAATAGTTCTCTTCAGAAGATTCCAATCAAAGGAAAATCAATGATCACTCAATCGTATGGAGTGCAACTGGTTAAGAAATGTTATGTAAGAGAGAAATCCTAAGGCTGAACTTGAAGATCTGCAAGGATAATGTTCCCTTACCCAAATTCACTCGCAGGCTACTGTGTAGGTAACATACTAAGTGCTTTAAGAAAGAAAAATGAGAACTTTGTGAAATTATCTGTTAATTAGTAGCTAGGACCAATGTGGAAATAGTGAAACTTAAGGGTGTCATTTGATGATTAGTTGAAGTTAATAACCAACTAAGTCAATAAAATGACTTGGTCGGTTATTACTGTGTATAACGAAAATGAAGAAGAGCTAAGAGCTCATCTTTCTCTCTCTTTTTCTTCTTCAATGAAATCAAAGATCCATTGCTGATTGTTCTTGCATGTTATAATTCATCTGTAATTAGGTTAATTCAGTGCAAATTAACATGGTATCGGAGCAGCTATCGATCGATTAGTACTGCTGTATCACAAATCTGAGAACAGTCATTTTCAGAGCTCAAAAAGGTGCAACAATGGCGGACGATGAAATTGCTAAGCTACCTCACAATCATCCACTATATCTGAAGGATTCAGACTCACCGGGAACAGCTTTAATAGCTCTCAAACTCACAGGGCTAGAAAATTATGCCCTGTGGAGTAGATCTATGAGAGTAGCTCTCCTTGTAAGAACAAATTAGGTTTTGTGGATGGAACTTGTCAGAAGACTTCATACAAATGAGAGTTAGCAGCGCAATGGGAAAGATGTAACGCAGTAGTTGTCTCATGGCTCAACAGCACTGTAGCGGCAGAATTAGTGCCGAGCATCATGTACGCCTCAAATGCGAGGAAGATCTGGGATGAATTCAAGGAAAGGTTTGACAAAGATGACTTGACTAGGATCTATCAAATTTCTGCTGATATCGCGGCTCTCAAATAAGGTACAGACTCTGTAACCTCCTATTTCTCAAAGCTGAAAGATCTATGGAATGAGTTAGATATCTTAGCTCCTTTACCCTCATGTGATTGTGAGGAATCACGTCCATATGTGGATCACCTGGTGAGACAAAGGCTTTTACAATTTTTAATGGGATTAAACGAGAGTTACAGTCATGTGAGGAGTGCAGTGTTACTAAAAAGGCCAATTCTTACTGTGAATCAAGCCTATGCTGTTGTGGTACAAGAAGAAAGTCAGAGGGAATTAGGAGTGGTTGAATCGAATAAGGATCCAATGATTATGTTAGCAGGAAAAGGAAATCAATTCATAAAAGGGAAGAAAGTAGGGATAATATGTGAGCACTGTGGATACAAAGGGCATTTGAAGGAGAATTGCTACAAAATAATTGGATACCCTGCAGATTTCAAAAGTAAAAAGAAGAGTCAGTTTCCTACAAGAACATATGCTAACAATGTTAATGGTGAGAAAGAAGTAACAGTGAATGAACAACCACAAGGAAATTACATGATTGAAGATCAGTACAAGCATCTGGTGAACCTGCTGACAAAATCATCTGTAGAAGGAACTTCCAACAACACCTCAAGTTCAGCAAATATGACAGGTATAAAGTCACTACTATCTAATGCAAGATCATATGATTGGATAGTAGATTCAGGGGCATCACACCATATTACTTTCTGTAAAGAAGTCCTAGAAAATTTAAAGAGAATCAACAAAGGAAATCATAGAGGAGTTCAAATACCCACAGGAGGTAGATCAGAAATAATGCATACAAGTGATGCAAAAATACTAGGAGAGCAGAAGATTAGAAATGTCCTACATGTACCTGACTTCAAATTCAATCTCATTTGAGTATCTAAGTTAACCAGAGATTTGTGTTGTTCAGCCTGCTTCTACCCTGGCTTTTGTGTGTTTCAGGGGCTTTACAATGGCAGGGTATTGGGGATTGGTAGAGAAGATGAAGGCTTGTACATAATCAGAAGTGAAGAAGATGACATAGTAGCTGGATCAGTCAAGAAGGAAGAGATAAGTGCAGAGTTATGGCATCAAAGAATGGGACATGCTTCTATAGGTTCAATGCAGTGCTTACCAGATTTGAAGAATAAAGTAAATAAAGATGTGCAGATGTTCTGTGAAATTTGTCCATTAGCCAAGCAAAGTAGACTAAGTTTTCCTATTAGTAGTCATAAATCTGATCATGTATTTCAGCTTATACATATAGATGTATGGGCACCATACAAAACTGCAACCTATGACAAGAAGCAATATTTTGCAACCATAGTAGATGACTATAGTAGATACACTTGGATTTGTTTGCTGCATTCTAAGTGTGAAGTAATAGTGGTATTGAAAGACTTCTTTGCTCTTGTGAAAAATCAGTTTAATTCTTCCATAAAGGTGTTGAGATCTGATAATGGTAGAGAATTTTTCAATAAAAACTGCAATGAATTGCTTGCATCCTTGGGAATAGTTCATCAGAGTAGTTATCCCTACACTCCATAACAAAATGGAGTGGTAGAGAGGAAACATAAACACATATTGGAGGTAGCAAGAGCATTGAAATTTCAAAGCAACATACCTACTAGATTTTGGCGAGATTGTGTGAAAACTGCAGTCTACTTAATCAATAAGATGCCCACAGCAGTGTGGAGTGGTAAGTCACCCTATGAAAGACTTTATGGAAAACCACCAAAGATAGATCACCTTAGAGTATTTGGATGTTTATGTTATGCTAGTACACTGCCAAGAGGGGACAAATTTGCAGCAAGAGCTTTGAAATCAGTGTTTATTGGATACTCTGAAGTGCAGAAAGGGTACAAGCTGTATGACTTGGAGTCAAATAAGTTCTTGGTAAGCAGGGATGTAAGCTTCAGAGAAGACATATTCCCTGTCAAAGGCTTACCCTTGGAGCATGAGAGCTTATTCATCCCTGATACTGGTGCAGCAACAACCACAAAAGATCAGTCTATCTTGACACCTATGGTTGATGATGATCCTGGAATAGCAGTTGAAGCAGAGATAGATACTTCACCAAATATGTCATTAAATGAAACAACTGATGACATGGAGATGCTGAGCTCAAATGGGAGGGATGGACAAGGTACCTCACAACAAGAAGAACATGAAGAGGTACAGCAATCAGATCATACATAGGAGATACATGAACAACTGCCATCAATTGTACAACAAACTACAGAGACTAGGAAATCTACAAGAACACAAAGACCAGCAGTGTGGCTCAAGGATTATGTGACTTCTTGCAAACCAAGAGGAGACTGTCTCTATTCACTTACAGATTATGTAAGCTATGACCACCTTCCAGAACACTACCAGTGTTATCTCAGCTCATTCTCAGCCCAAGTAGAACCAAGGAATTTCCAGGAAGCAACACAAGATGATAAATGGATAAAGGCAATGCAACAAGAGATTCAGGCACTAGAAGAAAATAAAACATGGGAAGTGGTAGATCTGCCCCCAGGAAAGCAGACTATTGGTTCAAAATGGGTCTATAAAATCAAACACAAAGCTAATAGTGAGGTGGAGAGGTTTAAAGCCAGGCTGGTGGCAAAAGAATACACACAACAGGAAGGTTTGGACTATCATGAAACCTTTTCACCTGTTGCCAAGATGGTGACAGTCAGAACTGTGATCAATCTAGCAGTTTCTAAAGGCCGGTCTTTGTCACAAATGGATGTTAATAATGCCTTCTTGCAAGGTGATTTGTATGAGGAGGTGTACATGGCATTACCTCAGGGATTTCATAAGAAGGGGGAGTCTAAGGTCTGCAGGCTACTCAAGTCCCTTTATGGCCTCAAACAGGCATCAAGGCAATGGAATATCAAATTAACTGATGCATTGATAGATGAAGGATGCTCACAAAGTGCCTATGATCATTCCCTATTTACAAAAAGGACAGGTGCAGACTTGGTAATCATCCTTGTATATGTAGATGACTTACTGATTACTGGGAGCAACAATGCACTGGTGGAGGAGGCAAAGACAACCCTACACAAACATTTCAAGTTAAAAGATCTAGGTGAACTAAGATACTTCCTGGGAATTGAACTCATGAGATCAGATAAGGGAATTGTGCTGAACCAAAGGAAGTATGCATTTCAATTGATCTCAGAGGTGGGAATGAGTTGTGCAAGACCAGCTAGTTCTCCTTTGGAACAAAACATCAAGTTGACAACTGTTGAGTATGACAAGCATGCAGGAGTTAAAGGTGATGAAGAGCTACAGGACATTGTAAGCTATCAGAAATTAATAGGCAAGCTGATCTACCTCACTATTATAAGACCAGATATTTGTTTTGTTGTTCAGGTTCTGAGCCAGTTCATGCAGAATCCAAAGCAATCACATTTGGATGCTGCATTGAGAGTGGTTAGATACATAAAAGGATCACCAGGAATGGGGTTGTTATTGAAGAAAGGAGCAGTAGAAGAAATCACAGCTTATTGTGATGCAGATTGGGCAGCTTGTCCAAATACAAGAAAATCAGTGACTGGTTATGTGATTAAACTAGGAGAATCACTGATCTCATGGAAATCAAAGAAGCAGCCAACTGTAAGCAGGAGTTCTGCTGAGACAGAATATAGAAGTATGGCAGCAGTAACTTCAGAGTTGGTTTGGCTAGTAGGCTTGTTGAAAGAGCTAGGATTGACTATAAAGGAGCCAGTGGTGTTGCACTGTGACAGCAAGGCAGCTATGCAAATTGCAGCCAATCCAGTCTACCATGAGAGGACAAAACACATAGAAATTGATTGCCGCTTTGTGAGGGAAAAGATCAAAGGGTTGATTAAACCTCAATACATTTCCACTAAGGAACAGCTCGCGGATGTGATGACTAAAGGGTTAGGAGCTGAGCAACACAGGGTTCTAACATCCAAGCTGGGATTGTTCAATGTTTTCCACCCTCCAGCTTGAGGGGGAGTGTGAAATTATTTGTTAATTAGTAGCTAGGACCAATGTGGAAATAGTGAAACTTAAGGGTGTCATTTGATGATTAGTTGAAGTTAATAACCAACTAAGTCAATAAAATGACTAAGTCGGTTATCACTATGTATAACGAAAATGAAGAAGAGCTAAGAGCTCATCTTTCTCTCTCTTTTTCTTCTTCAATGAAATCAAAGATCCATTGCTGATTGTTCTTGCATGTTATAATTCATCTGTAATTAGGTTAATTCAGTGCAAATTAACAAACTTCCCAGGCCTAGAGGAATTTCAGTAATTTAAGTGGTTTTACTTGTGTGGATGGCATAAATATCTAGCATGGATCGCCAAGTCAATGCTGAGGCAAGAAGAAGTTCATCCAGCTCCTACTTGAATACTCCATTTGAAAATAGCAGAGTTATTAAAGGTGAAATGGCGAAATGTGTAGACATAAAGAGCAAAGCACCATTAAAATGTGGTCTTTAGCGAAGAATGACAACAACCCAGGCCGAGAGGAATTTCAGTAACTTAAGTAATTGTTGCCAGCATGAGAGGTTAATTATTGAATATAAAAGAGTAGACTACAAATTGACTGCATTGGGTACACTCGTTTCACTGGCCTTGAATAAAAACAAAATGACAGGTGATTCAAGTCAACTTCTTTTGGCAGACAAGAAACAACTTGCAACACCTACCTTACCATAGTTAGAATGAAAGTAGCAGCTATAGTTCAGAGTTAATAAGCTCCTCAACTGAGCCTTTGTACTTTGAAATAAGATCCCTGGAATTAAGCACGAATCATGTCCATCAGAAAAAGAAGCTAATGGAAATTATACTACTTTCAGTAGAAACATTCAGAAATATAACTAAAAGTATCTCCACCAGGATACACACCTGCGCTGATTTAGCAATTGTTCACATTCTGCCTTTTTGCGCTTTTGTCCCTCAACTGTCTGTCAAAAGAACACATGAATAGTCACTTCTTATCCACGTTGAAGCATCACAATATACAACAGAATTATAATTTCTGGAGTAACTTTGTTCAAGTGATCATCGTCTCAAATATACTAAACCATAGTTTTCTGTAAAATTCTTCACAACTATAAGTTGCACAAACAGGCCTAATAGAAGAGCACCATTAAAAGCAATTACATGGCCAAAGTAAACAAATACAACTCTTACAGAAAATAATACTTCTTAACATTTTATTTGTGCTTTCTCCTTTTTTTCTTCTTCTTGTGTATGAGTTTGGGCTTTGTGGAGAAGGGGGGGGGGGGGGG